CACACACACACACACACACACACACACAGGATACTGTAATTAGCAGTACACGAGTTTCCAGAGTGCACCAAAAACATGGGGGAACTTTTTTACACATCCCCTCTTGGACTTCATGACCAGTGCACCAGTAGGAAAAAGTTAATTACCTAGAGCAAGTGACTTGGCCTGGCTCAGGATTATCCCCAGCCCTGGGTGGTAGCTCATTCAGCCTCTTAATACTTCCCCTTCTTGTCAAATCCTACTTTGCATTTCCTCTGCCTCTGCAGGAAAGCAGATACACAATACACATGTGCCTTTTACTCCCGATTAGATCCTAATAGAGCAGTGAACAATGAAAGGCCTGGCAGGACAAAAGGAGGAGGAAGAGGCTAAGGGAGTAATCAGTGAGGTGCAATGTCTGTGAGGATGAACAGTTAGTGTTGGCTCACCCCCTCACTTAGCCATAAGCTTCTGCACCATTAATCCCCAGTTTTATACTGGTGTAGTTTTACTCCCAGTTATCATGGTGAAACACATAATTGTGTTGCTGAAAAGTGCACATTTGTAGGCTACGTATACATACACACTGTGACATGCTGTAGTGGTAGAGTGGCTGTAAAGACTGCTGGTTACAGCACTGTAATGATTTGTCTGGACAGTTTAGACCAAACTAACCACTTTGTGTGGTAGAAACTTCAATAATGGCCAAAACCTTCTCCTTCATTCTAAATATACTTTTTGCTTACTAGTGCATAGCATTTAAATATAATTAAACCAAACAAGTGCATCTGGCACGTCTACCACATCATGCCCAAGACAGCAGTAAAAATAAAGATAGCATGACAATAAGAAGGGATTCTAGATAAGGTTCCTCCTTGATAATTTCAAACTAAGAGCCTACAAATACAGTCAAATGTAACAACGTTCTTCTAGTCAACACTGATTAATGATAACTTTGACATATCGAAACAGACACAAAAAAGAAACCTGGGCAAACAAAACCAAAAGTATTTGCATTTTTAGACACCACTGCAGATAGGTAAGAAATACTTTCACTTCATTTCGCTCATTCTTCTTATCAGAAGTCAAAATGTTCTTAATATATGTATCATGGTGACAGGAGCTGAATTACTGGTACTACAAACACAAGCAGCTGACTTATTTCATTTTCTATTTTACAGAAAATGAAAATGTCACAATGTGAACAGTTCAGCGTGGCCTTCCCTGGTCAACACAACCACATGGTTTGTTGGCTGGCTTACTAAAGAACACTAATACTATGATCAGGAGTAAGAACCAGAGAATTGTGTTTAATTTGCAGTGGTTTAGTTTGTTTGTCATTATGAGAAGTAGAACATTAAATTAGACAAAACCACCACATGATGATACAAGTCCAGTGAAGTATTCCGGTTCTTGGTACCATGCTAACTCTGAGAGACGAGGCAGTTCAAGTAGCTTCAAAACAGTGCTGATTTATTCCATGAACACAGGTAAAAATTAACATTACACACTCAGGTCTCTTGCACCTCCAACATGCAGGCAGGCAGGTGAAGGATGAAAGACCCCTAACCCAACAGGCCTGTACATTATATCGCTTTGGGCTAACCCCATTCTACACAGGGACGTCAAACCGTGACATCTCCCAGTGCCAGCTTTGCAGCTGACCAGAGTGGTAGTCAAAACATGAAGAAAATCAATGTGTGATTGTCCGTTGATTGTGTGGTGCGTATCTAAGACATTCTGACAGGACATCCAGTGGCATGTCATGACATTAAGCATAAGAAGATATTATGATTACGATTATGATTAAACACGTCATACAGTAATCAACTTTCTATCTAGTTATCCTTGAACATAAACAACCTGGAGTAACTCATGAAAATGAGTAAGCATTTAACAGCCTGAGCTAGACATCCTGTCTACACTAAAAACATTTCTAATACAACAAGTACCTAACCAATATCTATCTGACTGAAAATACCTAACACCAGTATCCAACATTATCATCAATACATTCACTCCAAATCAAACAGTTAAAGGTCAGTAATAAAAATGACATACAACATATTGTGATACTTAGAATTTTATTGCAAAGATTAATTATTCAAATTATTTCTGCCAAATGTTTTAACTTAGCCTTAATGCAATACTACAGGGCCTAACACCATCACAGTCTTTTCATTCTTTGAAAAAAAAAAAACACTATTTTTATAGTGCGGTATAAATCTACTTTGAGAACAAAATCTCAGTTCTTCATATCCCACTGCTTATTTGAACTCACAACTGCCCATGTCAGTTTGTGTTATACACTGACAGCAGCTCCCTCCAACACATTTTGAATGAGGATTGTCAGAGAGGGGTGTGTGGAGCTCCCGTGAAGGTGGAGGTGTGAACCCAATTAAATAGCCAGTAAGCTGGCCCAAAGTACGTGACTTAACGACTGTAACGTGCATACCCCGTAATAGCCCTATAGTTGGGGTATGCATCAGACGTATGCTGTTATCCACGCTGACAGTTCCTGTGCGGTGGATTGCATTTTTGTACGATGGTTTTTGCCCCTCTGTTTTCATGTTACGTGTTTTTTTGACTTCCACGCTGACAGTCCCTGTGCAGTGGAATTCATTACGTTTGCTATTATTTTTCACCTGTCTGTCCTCATCCTCCTGCTCTCCTGGTCTCTGCCGTCAGCCCATCTACTCACCTGTTCGTCCTGGTCAGGGATCAGGCAGTATCTCAGGATGATAGAACAGGCAGAGCGTCGACATCAGAATAATCAGGCACTGAGGAAAAGAGGGCTGAAGAGTCTAGACGATATATAGAGCAATCTGGCGCTCCCCACAAAGCAAGGAGCTGCTATATGCCGTGGTGAGCAGGTGTGAATGATTGAGTAGCAGGTAAAACCAATGTGGTTGATGATATGAAGTTCCTGGGAGTCAGGGTGAGCTGGGACAGGAAGTAGTTAAAGAAGAATAAGAGCGTGTTGCAGGAAGTGGATGGGGCAGAGTCATGACAGTGGATCTTCCCCACTCGCCATGCCCCTTCAGATGAGCCTTGTTGTGTGTGAGTCTCCTGTTTGTTAGCGGTCTCATGGGAAGCTTGAGAAGGTTGGGGTGCAGAGTGGGAGGCCAGCTTTGTCTAGTTATCTGCTGAGCCTCTGACATGTCCATACAGTACACCTTAACTCATGTACACAAAGTAATCTCACCATTAAAGAAGCAAAAAGTCCTCAACATTACATAGATGCGTTTTTTGAACTGATGCCTCTGACAGCAGGATAACATCATTTCCTCATCATTGCCTTCCAAAATCATTAGAAATAACCTTTGAAATAAATGTGCTTTATGGTGCGACAGTGTGATAGTTAAGGTGTGGAAACAACTATGTTTGGGTTAAAATGACATCTTAGAGAGACCTTTGTTGTTGTTACAGTAATAAACACTATGTTAAGCTTCATGGATAAACATGTTGAGGAAATAATTTGCCCCATTGAGGCATAGGGACTCCTTTGCAAGGGAGTTATTAGAAAAAAGAAACCAAAAACATTGACCATTGTTTGGCAAGAGGAAAAAAGTAGTCTCTCCACTGTTGAGCCCAATGCTTTGTTGACCCATCCACCCACACAAACAAAATAATGAAAACTAGAATTGCTGCTTTGTGGTTGTTGTCAGAGGAGGTTTAAAAACTGGACTCAAATCGAGGCAACACCGGAGCCTGAGTAAAAAAGATTTATTGTAGAATTGTTTACAGGGTGCGAGAACGGATGAAAACTGAATATGCAGCAGATCAGGTGAGTAATGGCCTCAGTTCTGCAGGAGAAGTAGCCCTGGGACCTGCAATACTTCTCATCCCCTAGGAGGATAAGACACACGATGAGTGCGGTGTTTAGGCAGTAGTCAGCAGATAATTTCAGCAAGTGATCTCAGGTACTCGCATGTATGCGTTCTTTTGTTCCGCCAGTCAAATGGTGAGCCCAGATGACTGGCAGCAGCGGTGGAGCGGCAGATAAGATGGCGTCACTGGCAGAAGATGGTGGACCATCAGATAGCGGCCTAGGAGGAGAACCAGTGGTTCTGGGAGTGGATGGAGAGGAGCGTGGGTAGGTATGAGATAACTTTGGAGAGCAGAGGGAGACACGGTGAGTTCAACAGGTAGGTAAAAACTTTAAGAGAAAAACAAGGGAGGCCGTGAGCTGTCACTCCGAAGAACAAACAATCCCTCCAAACACTACAGTAAAAAAACAGGTGAATAATAAAAAGAGCAGAGCAGTGTGCATACTAGCAAAACACACTGAGCTCAGATAGAAAAAAAACTGGCAAAATACTAGAGACACAAAAATCAGACTGTCAGGCAGTCGCCAACTGGTGAGCGGGTCTACGAGTCCAGGAGCACAGGCTGGTGCAGAATCAGAGATAGAAAAAGCATGTGGGAAACAGGCAGGCTCTGATACAGAACACAGCTGGAGCATCCTCACAGAAGAGAAGACATAGAAACATCTGTATCCAACGTTCTCCCACATCCACCCTTAAACTGTAGGCTACTCTTTCCTAAAATCTTTTACCAATTAGACTAATCTTCCAGAGTCCAATCACAAACTGAAAACAGACTCAACAATCATCACTAAAATAACAGTTAAAAGATCACACAGTTTAAGGCCTATTTGTGCAGTTTTACTCAGGTCAAATCATTTCTGAACACATCAAACTCAGTCACCACCAAATCAAATCATCCCTGTGCACCGTGTACAGCGCTGCTTTTCACATCACTGTCTCCGCATCGTGTGCCTTCCATATACTTGCCTTAGCTGTGTCTAACACAATGTGATATGGTGCTTCAGCTGCTTCGGTGTTCACAGTGCTAAATGTCTGTTACTCTGTTCTGTCACTGTGAATCCTCTAGTTTCTTATCAAAAACTCCTGTCTTAATCACCAAACTTGTTTACATAGTCTCATACTGTCATTAGCTAGCACCACTTTGTAAATAACACTGTGGCAGTGGAGCCTCATCAAGACCCATCCATGAAAGTCCAAACCTTAAATAATCATCGTCATACTTGCTTCATTTCCTGCTCGCCCCAGTCTCCTCTCTCACTGAAGTACTACATATCGATGCACTTTCCCCCACACAGCCTGTTTACATTATTTCTTCTGGTTTATCTTTTCTCACACTGCACCTCCCCTGAAATCCTCTGGCCTCCCTCAGGGGAGGCGCACCTCACACTCTGAAAACAGCTGGTCTAAAGCATTTAACACCCTTGATAATCATTTTTGTGGTGACTTCAAGTGGTTCGACTCCAGAAGCCTGTGACCTCACTGTGTGGTTACAGGTGCAACAGAACAATCAGCAACACCCCTCAGGGATGTTGCCTGTAGGCTACTCGTTTCTCAGTATGGAACATATGTCATAGCAGATGGTTATACTTCACTAATTTAATTTGAAACTGAGACACTTTCTTGTGCAAATATAACATTTTTAATCTGCACCTTAAGCCAATAAAAATCATCTGATGAAAATGACATGCATATGTAAAATAAATACTGGAAGTGCCCAAATATAAACCTCCACCTAGAGTACAGGATCAAACTGATTGTGCTGTTTTTTATTTCTTTTTTTTTTTACAGATGAAAGCTTCGTGTGTTTAACTAAACATGAGCCTGTTGGCATATGTGGAGCCATCATTCCTGTAAGTCCAGAGGAGATCTGGTTTGAATTTTTGAACAATAATGTATATATTACTTTGGCATGGTGAGAAAGGGTCTTCTGTGAAATTAAACATACACTGGTTTGTATAAATACAATTACACAATGCATAACATTGTAGCTAATATACTGTTATAGTATGTATGCTGTGGTGGGAGGGGGTTGTATGTCTGTATTTGTATAAATATACATTGTGAGGACCAGTTTGAGTTTTATACCACTGGACTAGTTGGACTGTCCTTAATTTCCCACACCTTTGAAGGGCTGTCTGAGGGTTAAGACTTGGTCATAGGGTTAAGGTTAGAAGGTTTATGTTAGGATTAGAGGGTGGAGACCTGAACCAAGCCCGAGGGGACCCACTGGGTCAGGTTCACACAAAAGTTTTGAAATCATGTTTGGGCTCAGGTCAGATTTGGCTTCTTCTTCTTTCGGCTATTCCCGTTAGGGGTCGCCACAGCGAATAATCTGTTTCCACCTAACTCTATCCTTGGCATCCTCTACTCTCACACCAATTAACTTCATGTCCTCTTTTAGTACATCCATATATCTCCTCTTTGGCCTTCCTCTTGACCTCTTACCTGGCAACTCCATCTCCAACATCCTTCTACCAATATAACCACTATCCCTCCTCTGCACATGTCCAAACCATCTCAATCTGGCCTCTCTGACCTTGTCCCTAAAACAGCCGACCTGAGCTGTCCCTCTGATGTGCTCATTCCTAATCCTGTCCATCCTGGTCACTCCTAAAGAGAACCTCAACATCCTCATCTCTGCTACCTCCATCTCTGCCTCTTGTCTTTTCCTCACTGCTACAGTTTCATAGCCCATACGGCATAGCTGGTCTCACTACTGTCTTGTACACCTTTCCTTTGATTCTTGCTGCCACTCTTCTGTCACACAACACTCCTGACACCTTTCTCCACCCACTCCAACCTGCCTGCACTCGCCTCTTCATTTCTTCCCCCGTCACACTGGACTGTTGACCCCGAATACTTAAACTCCTGCACCTTCTTGACCTCAGCCCCCTGTAAAGTGCCCCTGTAACCTCACTGTTCCACTTCCCTCCCTCTCATTCATACACATGTATTCTGTCTTACCATGACTGACTTTCATTCCTCTTCTTTCCAGAGCAGACCTCCACCTTTCCAGGTGTTCCTCCACCTACTCTCTGCTGTCACTACAGATCACAATGTCATCCACAAACATCATTGTCCACAGAGATGCCTGTCTGACCTCATCTATCAACCTGTCCATCACCATAGCAAACAAGAAGGGACTCAAAGCCGATCCTTGATGTAGCCCCACCTCCACCTTGAACTCCTCTGTCTGACCTACAGCACATCTCACTACTGTCGTACTCCTCTCATACATATCCTGAACTACTCTGACGTACTTCTCTGCCCTGACATCCTCATACAATACCATAGCTCCTCTCTC